ACTTTGACTTGTGAGAGCCTCGACCCATGAACAAAAAAAAGGCAGGGGAAAAGGGCAGGAAATTCAAATTTCCCCTTCCTTTTTTTTGTTCCATTCAAACCGTTGGTGGCAAAGATGCTGCTCTTTCGCCCCAACGGTAAGGAAAAGGGACTCTCAGGAGGTCTCTGATGGCGGCGGGGAAGCCCTCCTGGGGGTCCCCACCACCACCACGATCAGAGGCAGCGGTCACCCGGCGCTGGGAGGCTTGAGCTGGCTGGGCGCTTGGCCGCTCGGCCATGGCGGAGACAGCGGAGCGCTGGGAGGCTTTGGACTGGTAAGTCCTTTTTTAAAAACTATTCTGGGTGGGTTTTGTAGGGTGGGTTTGGACTGTTTTTTGTTTGTTTGTTTTTCAGTCCCAGTGTGGGACTTGTTCTGTTTATTTTTATTTTTATTTTGGTGATTTTTTGAAATGCTGGAACAGATTAATCCCTTTCTCATGCATTTCAATGGGAAATGGTACTTTGACTTACGAACGCCGTTGCAATGTGGATAAAGTCGAGATACCACTGTAGTGGTAGTCACTATTATGTTGGCTAAATAATTTGGAAGATTTTGGAGGATAGAGCTATTAGCTTTGACAGGTAAAAATAATACATTCATGTCAAAGTATATGAGGTTTGGTGAACAAATAAGGTATGAATGTTCCCATCACACTTGTGGGTTTGTTAGGAGAGTGGACTTTCTGTTATTGTGGCATGATGTGAACATGAACATTTCCTATATTTTGGCCTATTAAGACAAACTGCTTTGCTGCAGGCTCTCCCTATTAGCCTGTTCACAGCCCCATATCTGATGTTTTTGCTCTGGCCTTTGGCAGTTTGTCTGTATCTACCATTGCAGAGGTCTTGGAAGTTCACCATTGGTTGTGTGTGTGTTTTGTTTATTTTTGGTGAACAAGATCGCACCAGTACACCTTTTTTGTATTTCAATGTAATAATAAATATACTCACCTGTGTACTTGTAGTTTCATGATAGAACAAAGTATAGTGAAAGAAGTAAGTGTAGATAGTGCTGTGTTTGTCAGGAAGGGCATAATTGCTAGATTGATATAAATGCTTGAGGTCTAGCTGGCTGTCCTTGTCTAGTTAGCTATGAAACAACCTCCTGGTGCACACCAGGTTTAACTAGTGCTTTGTGCTGGTTCCTTCTACAGTTCATTTCTTAAAATTTAACTGCTCAGTTCAGGGACTACATTTGGAAATCATACATTCACACACCAGGACTGAGGATTTGACATACACATGTTGTGTATAATATCTCTCTGAAAAACATTTGTATATGTCCTGCATGTATACATCTCATTGGCTCTTTTCATGGTGAACACATGGCTGCTGTCAGTGGTTATAAGTCATCCTTGCCCCTCCCTCCTACCTTTAATCTTTGACTACTCAACTTCCTGCACTCTGTGTAGTGTCAGAGTCCATTGCACAATATACCAGGTTATGTTTGGATATGCCCACACTTTTTTCCACTTTTGTTGTATTTGTTTCACCCTTTCTATTTCTATGGCTCCATTCCCTTCTGAAAATGACAGTGTCGAATTATCCCCCTCTATGTACATATTTCTCATTCTTGGACTATTTCTGTATTTAATACTGGCCTGCATTACTTGTGATTTCTTTTTTAAAAAAGTGAAAGCAGTCTGCTATCCATATATGACAATGGCTCAATAAATCTGTTGTTGCAGACAGGATTTCTTAAAACAGGCAAGTCATCAAACACCTAGCAACCTGTAATTCGTCAGGTGGTAAATTATGTTTACCTGTGGTAAAAGGTCTCTTGGCTTATTTGCCATTGCTGCATTTGGCCACCTTCTCTAGGAATCTATGTTTTGTGGTGGTATTCTTTGGTGAAGTTTGCTTCCTCTGAGCCCCAGGAATCTGTTAAGAGTAGCTACTCAATTTGGCTAATTACTCCTTGTCAACAACAGTAATAGATAGGAAATAGAGATGTGGCCAAATTAATTCAAAACCCTCTATTCTAATATTTTCATGCTGCAGCACAGCTGCCAAGCAGACTCTTTCACCCTCCCTTACTAGTAGGACCACTCACCTTTTGTCATGTGCCGTTAGGTTCCTTGATCACCAGCAGCACACCAATCCGGGCAAGAGCTCAGCTGGCCGGTCCCCACTTCCACAGGCAGCCATTCATTTGTCGATTCTCCCTGCGCAACTGACAGGTGGGCAACTGCCTGTGGAGGCGGGGACTGGCTATCCAAGCTCCTGCCCAGATTGGGATGCCGCTGGTGATGAAGGACCTCAGTAGTACACGTCGAAAGGTGAGTGGTTACACCAGTCCGGGGGTTGGAAAAAGTCCGTGTGATGTTCAGAATAGGGGGTTCCAAATTAATTTGGACCCCTCTGCAGTAGGAACCAGATTTTTGGAGTCCTTATCATGATATAATTACTTTGAATCTTTCTTGTGCAGTTTTTATCTTGCTAGTGAAGCATAAAGTTTGCTAACTAATAGTCCAATCTCAGGACAGCATTCTGATTGTGATCATGAAAATTAAAACATGACTTGCAATCCAATTCAAACAAAAAATTAGTCTCACTATTATAGCAAGATTGAAAACATTTTTAAAAGAATGTAAAAAGAAGCTCTGGCTATGTTGTCTTAATGTTTATTAATATTTTTTGTTTATTATATAATTCTATTTTATCTGTATTTTGATTTTGCAGCCATTACATGAGACAGATACTGGAAGCACTGCGCTATTGTCATGATAATAATATAATTCACAGGGATGTGAAGGTAAGTTAAGTTATTACTGTAGGTATACTTTTTGTTGATAGTGTAACACTTCATTTATATTATTTCCATATCTTTGTTGCCAAGTAGTTTAACCCACTGAAAAAGATGAAACCTTTACTAAACCGAGATACCAGTATTACTAGTACGGTTAATAAAATACTGACTTGGTGTGTTCATACACCTGTGTGCCCAGATTTCAGTCTAAAAGGCTTGAATTTCTGAGTTATTAAAATGCTTCACTGCTTTTTTTAAAAAAGGAAGTTAGAACAAGTGACTCTGGGAAATTGTGTTCCACAGGTGGTCTGTTATAGTCATTCATTTCTATAGCATCTACAATTGTTCCATTTGTGCCCGGGCACAATGCACATAAGGAGTTTTGCTGGACACATTGCACCCCAGTGTTCCCTATCCCTGTTAATAAATATGTAGTATTAATGAATAATAAAATTTAGGTCTTGATTAGAGGTGAGCAGTGATCTGGCTTCTGCGTTTTGAACCCACTGAAGTTGCTGAACACATTTGAGAGGCAGTCCCATGTAGAGTATGTTACAGTAGTCTAGCTGGGATGTAACTGAGGCATGTGTCACCATGGCCAGACTGACCTCTCCAAGAACAGGTGCAGTTGACATGCTAGTTTTAATTGTGCAAAAGCACTCCTGGCCACCACCAAAACCTGGTCATCCAGCTTAGGGATGAATCCAGGAGCACCCCAAGCTGCACACCTGTATTTTGAGAGGGAATGCAACCCTATCCAACACAGGCTTGGTGTGCCTTCTGACTGACCAGGAGCACCTCTGTCTTGTCTGTCTTTGAGTTTATTCACTCTCATTCAGTCTATTACTGACATCAGACACTGATCTAGAGTTGAAACAGCTTCCTCACATTTAGCTAGCAAGAAGAGATAGAGTTGAGTGTCATCCGCATACTGGTGACACCTGTTTAGAGGTATATGTTTTTTGATATATTCACCTTGCCGTAAAGGGGGTACATTGAAATCAGTTTGAAATTGTGTGGGGCTTTAAGAGAGACAGCAATCTTTTCTTACTATTAAAGTAAAGCCTTGTAAATCTTTTAGCATTTATTAGTCTTCCTGTTTATTAATGCATAAAGTGCTATAAGAATCCACAGCATGGTAAAGAGGAATGTACAACTGTCTTCTGGCAATTTTATTTATTGGATATAATATAAGACTATGGAAACATGGGGAACTCAATAATCTGGTTGTCAGCAATGTGAACGTATGAAATGAACTTGTAAAATCAAGGTTAAATATGAAGTATAATCTTGAGACACACAATCCAGTGCTTTTTGTTTTACTGTACCTTGTCGCAGTCTAAAGTAAATGCAATATGATCTTAAAAAGCAAAGTTCATCTCAAAAGAGATTGCAGCAAGACCCCTACTAAGCTCTTTGCATGGATGCATTGTCTATTGCCACATGCACAAAATCACATTCTTATTTAATTACAAATCTATGCTGTCATTTGTTGATCTGGATATGCGCTAATACAGATTATATGCTCTTTAGCTGCCCTGATTGTGAATGCACAGAGTGGTTATGTAATATTAATAATTATTTTCACTGTGTGATTGTGAGGGGAGAAAGAGACAGAGACAAAGCAGGGAATGGTAAAACTCTTAAGACTTATAAGTAAAGTAAGATATGGACAAACCACAAAAGGGTGATTACCTGTACCACATTTAATAAAATATTACAAACCCTTTCAAATAGCTCAGGCTGTTAAATTTGTACAAGTGAAGTAAGGCCCATGACTGGACTCAAGTGGAACAGGGAGCTGAGGATACTGCAAGAGGCAGTTCACACTTGTTGAAAAATAGCCTTGACAATTGCTTTGTGTTTGGGTGAGAAGTGGTTAACTGATGGAAAAAGGAGTCAGCGTCTGGAATTTGTCCTTGCATGTTGTCACTTTGTGAATGGTGGTGACAACATGCAAGTGGTCTAACACAGGGGTTCCCAACCCTCAGTCTGCAGCCCGGTAGAGGGCCATGGCCCTGGCAGGACCGGGCTGCGGAGACAAATCTACCACCCCCGCACACGCATTCCCCATGGGAGCGTGCCCTGCCCCATGATCGCACTCTGCCCCCTGCGAGCACACCACCCACACAAATGTGCCCCCACAAGCACACACCCTGCCCACCTGTGAGCGCAGGGGGTGCCCTGCACCCTATGCACGGGCCATGCCCCCCCAACCGTTCCGTGGTTGGGAGAAGGTTGAGGGCCACTGCTCTAGCAGACCCTGTTGACTGCTGCTATTGGTGTCAACAGACAGCCTGCCCTTTGGTATATAAAGTCTGACATCCTTTTCCCCACTGGCAATATGGGTGTGAAATTGTGCAGCAATATCAGGCTATTTTCTGGCTTTTTGAATTGTGGGTACAGAAGCCCAATATCCCACATTCATAAACTGGGTGTTTTTTCAAGAATTGAATATGAACGAAAATATTTGAATTCTATGGATAAAAATCATTTTTATTAAAGTAAACATGTAGTATAAAATTCAGTAATGTGAAATGTTATTGTGGAAAAATACCAGCAAGTGTTATTACATAAGTAAGAGTTAATTTCTTTTGAACATATATGATTATAATTTATATCTGTGCATTCCTCTTTTCAAAGTACTGTAATTTCCATTTGTTATATGACTGCAGGAGTAAAATTAAAGCAAGATTTTTTGGAAGGATAGATAACAGCAATTGTTTCCTGCCTGGTCAGAGATGAGACAATCATTTGAAATGCAATCCTTTTTCTACTTATGTCCTGTTGAATACGATGGAACTTGCTTTCACAGACATGTAGGTCTGTGATGTTAATAGTTCATTTCACATTCCTTAAATACACTCTGGAAAGATGGGTTGAGTTTTCCAGATTATCCTGAAGAGAATATCCTTGTTTTATTTCTGAAGTATTCTCATTGATAGTAGAATCCAAATGAAGTCGCTTGCAAATCAGTTGAAGTACAGTTTTACGAATTCCTCTGGACATTAAGAAATACATAACTGGATCTAAACAACTGTTGAAGGATGAGAAGACTAGCATAATCTCATTGCATTTGTGAATAATTTCCTTCCAATGGCAGGAGGTATTTTGTAGCTGTGAAGTAATGTAAATAAATCGGAAAATATGATAAGGAACAAAACATAATGTGAAAATGATAAGCACTATAAAAGAGTTCCTTGCAATAGCAATATACTTTCCATTATTTGGAAAACTTTTTCTCCTCTTAGACATTTTCAGAAGGTTGTTTCCGGTTTTAATATATGAAAGAATCAGTAGAATGAAAACAATCCAAAATATTATCACAAGGATATAATTCAAACCTGCTTCTGTTTTTGCATTTTGCTTTTCTCTGTAATGAAAACACATTGCAGAATTTTTATCTTCCTTTCTATTAGACTGCACAACCATTACTATAAATCCCACTATTGCAACTATCCATAATGTACAACAAATATGTATGCTTTGCTTAGTTGTTATCACTTTAGGGCGCTGTATAGATCTGTTGATTTTTATATAACGGTCCAGACTAATCAACCCTAGTAGTACTATGCTGAGATACATGTTCATATAAAACAGATTCCCTATAATTTTGCAAAAAGTCAAGCCTAACACCCATTTGTTTTGCATTACGTGATAAACTATTCTGAAAGGAAGGCAAAAAATTAGCAGGAGGTCTGCAATTGCAACATTAAATAAATAAATCTGGATAGAGTTCTTTTTACAGTGAATGCACAGGAAAGCGTACAGTGCAGTAACATTGCCAAGCAGTCCGATGACAAAAATGATAGAATAAGAAAATAGCAGGGCCAAAGAAAGTGATTCTTCTGCCATGGCACATTCTGTAGTATTTGGCATGTCTGACAAGATTTTTCCAGTCACATTTTGCTTATTCTCTTCCATGAAGGAAATATTCAGTAAGTTGAGTGCTTTCATCATGAAAGAATTCCCAGTGTATATATATTCACTGCAGTGATTATCTTTACATATATTTTACTACTTTTACCTGAAATAAAATAAAAGATAGAACAATAACTACTATCACACTTATATTAATTACTTTATTATTAATAGTATGGAATAGTTTGATTAAGTTTATTAATTCTAAAGCTCTTTACTTAAAAGTCTTATTTTATAAGCAAAAAAGTCTAAAAAAGAACCCTAATCTTTCCACCCAAACTGTTTATAAGCAAGTTTTCAGTTGTAACTGTCCTGTTTATTTAAATGTTGCATTCCACAGTAAAGTGAGAACTATTTTTTTAACATTTCCTCATTCTTAAGTAAGCAAAACAAATAAAGTAAACTTACATTTTAGAATTCTCCCCAAAATTAGTATTGGGTCTGTATTTCCCAAGCTTGTATAATTATTTTGGTCCATGTTTCTAAGGAATTACACCGTCATGATGAATTATTTGTGCATATGGCTTCATTTTAAAAATTACTCCTTGGGCACATAGATAGAAAACCTTGCACTGAGTGAGTTTTGGATATAGTCTGACCTCACTGGAATTCCTTTATACTGAAAGTTAAAAATAAGGTCAGGGTTAGGGGTTGGGTTTCGTGCACACAACTTCTATTTCCTGAATCTATTAAGAATTTAATTGCTGCTGCCATATAAATGAGGCCAAGCTGCTGAAAATCGGAGTGTGTCCTTTCTTGGCTTCAGGGCTTATTTTTAAAAAACGGTAGAGTTCCCCTTTAGCAAAAAGCAATATATTTGTGAGGACAGTTTCCCCCCTCCCAACCATCTTTAAAAAATAAACTGTACATGATGAGTGGGTAACACTTGAGGACATTGTTTATACTCCTTCAGGTGACATTGTCGTAGGTTGGCTGTTCTGCAGATATAGTTCTGTGTATATTTTGCAACAGAATATGACAATCTCATTCTAATGCATGAGGATAAAAAAAGAAGCTTGAAAAACAAGTAAAATCAAAGAAAATCATCTTGCTAGGCACTAGCAAGAATGTAAGAAGCAAATTCTGTCTAAATAAACAAATAAAGAACTAAGTGTTAAATCTAAGGTTAGTCCCTACAGTAGTAGAGTCATTAAAACATGGGATCTGTCAATCACTGCTTATATGTAATTGATTTCACTGAGTCAGCTCTGGTTGGAAGTACTGTTCCATGTAACACAGAAACAATACTAAGGAAATTATGCTAATCAGACAAGTTCAGAACCATTAAAATGCCTGGGATTATTTATAGTAGAACTGAAATACTGTGTAAAATTAATTTTGATCTGAAAAAAACATTGCCAAGATGTTAACATTTCTTGACCAAGATTTCCTTGATGAAACGAAGTGTCATTCCCAAATATACTGTATGAAACTTTACTGAAAATAATCACTGATTTATCCATTTTGAACTGGCAGACTAGTATTAAAGTTTTGTTCAAATATGGAAAGGCCAATCATTTTTGTGATAACTATAATAAAAACTAAACGACAGAGTGAGTTTTCCACATGATTGCATAGCAGGCTTGAAAGGAAAGATAAAGTAAGTGAACAACTATCAGAATATTTGGATATAATAATTGGGAATGAAATAATTTTGAGGTGTGCGATGAGGTGTGAGATGACTGAGTTAAAGAAAATAAGATGTCAACATGTATCAAAAGTGTTGTAATTAAAATGACCCTGACTTTATTGAGAGAGTACTATACTAAAGAAATAGGAATAACAGTAGCCAGTAGTTAAGAACTTCATCAATATGTAAGGTTTATATGAGTAATAACTGATTATGATTGAGGTGTTTTAATATGCAGAACTCACTGACTAAGGAATAATACGTCTTTCCATTTTTCCCTGTTTTCCTGGGCACATTATTTAATGCCACATTATTTTGCGAACATGTTGAGACAAACACAATTACTTCTTTGTAGATTAGAATAAATTTGATCAAATTATGGAAGAAAAACATGAACATTGAAAGAATTTGAAATTAATAGCACCATTGTAGTGTGATTTTAATATGGCTTATGCTTATATATTTAGTCTGCTGAAAGTAGTCCCCATTGAAACTTTTCCCCAGTGCTTGCTTCTGAATAAGCATATATGAAATTGTGCTACACTCCTGTATGTGCTTTTCCAAGAGTCAAAAACTCTTCATAATAGGTACGTTTCTCTCCATGTAAACAAATGTCAGGATAAGACTGCAAATTATTGTAGGTAGAGAATGAATTTATATATTGACTACTGTTTTTAGTAGACTTAAATTTACATTACTGTATGCACAAATACTGGAGGTAAGTTCTATCAGATTCAATGAGATTTTCTTCTAAGTAGAAACATGTCATGATTGGACTATATGGGACTCATACCTAAAAGTTGTTTGTAAATATGACTCACAAGATACAGTATAACTCTTCTTTGCTATTAAAAACAGGAAATGAAGATATCACAGACAAGCTGACATTATTGACAAACATGCTTATAAAATATTGTTTGCACTGAAATCTGAACTAATTTTGTACATTTAACACATGAGTGTAACTTTATTGTGAATGTAACAAAAAGGAAATACTCACTTTCTGGTTAGTAAGGGAGCATTTTCTTCAAAAGCTTTGCTTTACTGTTGTCTTGGAGGAAGGAAGGAGGGGAAGTGTATGTCTGATTAGAAGGTTCTGCATAGTTTTGTTTTAAAACACAGCGTCAGTTGCATCATCTAGTGGAATTCATTTTGTCTGGTGGAAGGAAGTGTAACAGATTAGATATGTTGTGATACATGCTAGATGCTCAGGCACCCAAAACACTGCTGGCCTTTTGTGCCTTTCTTCCCGAAACATAGGTAGCCGGGTCATTGATTTCACTGGGTTGCATTTGTCCTAACTGAGCACATACTTATTTGCTGATGGAGGCTGTGGAGCTTATATAATATGCTTAGAAGTACAGTATTGCACATTACATACTTTATACACACTTCTAAACATTGTACAGTAAGATTAAAAGCAAAGACCTATCTTGTGTGATTTGTTAGATGTGGTGTATTTTCAGCCTCCATAGATAATCCTGGTATAGTATATGTGCTGGATCAGCTGTCTTCCTCCTGAACATGTGTAACCAGAAAGCACAAGAGTGGAATAAAGGAAAGCAAAATGAAATATATTTTTTCTAATGGTAAAATCTAGCAGGGGTGGATTGACTGGATGTGTCCAGAAGGTGATAAATACCTCATTGTGGCAGGGGTGGTACCTGTTTCCTTGAAATAGGTGGCAGTGCACCCGCCCTAAAGAAAACTGCTGTGGACTCAGAGTATGTGACAGCTGCAGTGCCACCACAGATATCTCCTTTTTGGGCAAGGTGCCTTGAGCATTTGGAGGCTGGGTTGCTTCATATGTTCTTGGGGGTAACTGATTGTCCAGACCCATTTTGGTGTGGTTTTAGGCTGGGGTTTGGTACCAAAATGGTCTCATGTGAGCTCAATGGTTCAGAGTCCCTGGGGCCAGCTTCAACTGGTCTGTCAGCTATAACAATGCCAAACAGGTATCATCTAGCCATAGTAGTCCACACCCTGGCAGCCACCTGGTTTGACTCCTGCAATGCACTCTACGTGGGATACCCTTGAAGATGACATGGATGCTGCAACAAGTGCAGTATGCAGCAGCTAGAACATATCTCAGAATCCACATGACAGCAGTTCTGAAGGATTTGCACTGGTTGCCAGTACATGTCTGGTCTGAGTTCAAAGTGTTAACAGTGGGGCACATGTACTTGCTGGCTTAGTGCATGCTTGAGAATCCCAGAGGTGACTTGTTAATAACCAGCTAGAAGTGAGTGAATGGTATGCTGTTTGCTTTCTGTATGCATAAAAATCAATAAGATTTCAGCCACTATTCATAGTTGTACATTCTTATATGGTGATCAGGACCAGTAAATTGCAGTTGTGTCATTAGGCCTCTTGCCGGGAATGTCCACCAGCAGCAATGCAGAAATATAGAAGTATTCAGATGATCTAATTAACAATAAAAGTATCCTGGGCCTGTCAAGAAGGCAAGTAGACAGTGCTTTCTCCTCAAAAAAGAATGTTGAAATCAGGGTTGTGGTTGATTGGGAGAAGATGTGTATCAGACTTGATTTAAAAAGCAAAACGAGGCTGGAACAATCAGAGACTTGTATGGGAGAATTGTGTATAAAGTTTTTGCTAGTGGCCATGTGAGGGTAAGAGGCAATTTTATACTTCAGGGCAACTCATTTATTTTTTCCTCCAGATATTGGAGTTGAAATTCAACTTGTGTTATTTTCATGCACAATTTATGCAAAAATTAGACTTAACAAATAGTCTTTCCAGTATACCATCAGCTGCATTGGATTAAGCACGGTTTTCAATTTTTAGCCACTTAGCGGATATTTTTGAGATACAACTATAGTTCCAGTGCTTCTGCTTTAGTAGAGGTACCATTCTTTTTGGCTCTGGAGGAATGCACATTTCTTCCCTCTTATTATTTTGAAGGATCTTGATGGAGCCAAAAGCATTTCAGTATTTTCTGTGCACAATAATTTGTTTATGAAGTTTAGTGGTTCTTTGCTAAATGGGTTTTTTTAAAATACCTTTTTGCATTTATATTTTCAGCCTCACTGTGTGTTACTTGCCTCAAAGGAAAACTCAGCACCTGTGAAACTTGGAGGCTTTGGCGTTGCTATTCAGTTAGGAGAATCGGGGCTTGTTGCTGGAGGTAAGGAACGGCTATGTTTCATGTCCTGTTCAGATTAAATAGCTTTTTCTTAGATGAAGTGAAGCTTATTGAGAATAAACTTGGAATGAACTGAAACAACATCTTGGTTATAGAAAAGAAAAGCTGTGTAGTTGTGTAGCTTGAAGATATTGCAAACATCCACTAAAATGTAATCTGCACAGGTTAAAAACCATAAGAAATATGCGGAAAGTTATTAATTAACCGGTATGTCTGTAGCATGCAGTTTAAAACCTATGCGGAAACTAAAATGTGTACTAGAACTATTAAGATATAAATCCTGTCTTGTCTCCTTCTTATGCAAGATTTGGGATGGGAAGATATATTTTCATTCTGTCAGCAAGAGTTCTCAAGTTTGGGAGAATTATTTTTTGTATGAATTGAGCAAAACTACTGTAGCTGTCTAGTTTACATGGACTGTTAAATCTGTGAAGTTTGTTGAGTCATCCAGGTGAGGTCATCTGGAAGTTGAGTCATGGCAACTGAGCTTCTTTCTTATTAAGTTGAACTAATAAGAAGGACATCCAGTTGTCATGACTCAACTTCCAGAGGGGCTGTTAAAACTAGAAATATTGGGTGGATTGTTTACATCTTTTTCAACAGTTCAGTGGCCTTGTGCTAGCTCCAGGTGTATGATTTTGCTTCATAAAAATGCTGATTTTGTACAGAGACTTCTATTGCATATCATAGAAACCTCAATGAAAGAAAAGGGACTCCTTGTCTTATTCTTATGCTAGGGGTGAGAAATTTCATAGGGTCACTTGCACATGGGATTTTGTAGCAACATATGAAAACTTCTGATAGAACCTTCTGCTTGTCACAGAGTTCACTATTACTTTGTCTTTTGTTCCCTATTTGGAAGCAGTTCATAATACTTTTTCAGGGCTATTACAAGCAGGGAGATAAAATTATCATGCCTTGTGGGACACAACAGTATCCCACAATTCAGTTGGCTTTAGGAAGAGAGAAGAAACCATTGTCTTCCTCCTTCACCCATCACCAAAACCAGTTTCTGCAGAGTCAGGGATGAGCTTTTATTCCTATTTACCAAATCCAGGATCTAGCTTGGAAGGAGAGAAGAGTGTGTTCACTTTTATCCTTTTCCTCTCAAAACCAGACCTTGAACTTGCAGAGAAGAGCTCACTGTGCTTCACTTGACTCCTTCAGGTTCAAAACAATTACTCTGATTGAACTGTGAATGAATGCTCTCTATTTCTCACCCCCAAACCAGTTATGAACTCTGTTTCTTAGACATACAGGACTGTTCAACTGCTATACACTTGGATTTTAAGAGATTTTTTTTAAAAAACTGGAATAACAATGTAATCAAGTGGTTGTGATACTTTCCTATACAAGTCTTTTCTACTGTATTTTGAAAGTGGTTTTTTTAAAAAATAGTAAAAATTTGATTTAAAAGACATGCAGGACTATGTTATTGCTGAAATAGATTCATGCATGGCTACATGAAAGGATGTGATCATGCTAGAAGATGAGAACTCATATCGCTCAGTGGGTGGGAGTTCCTGGTTGCACAGGAGTTTAGATCTCCAGTGTACTTCCCAGGATAAATGCCAGTCAAGCTCACTTGTAGTGTATGTGATGGATGAGGTTATGTGCCCTGCACATGTGTACACCAGAAGGGTGGAATAGTTAACCACTGTTGAAGACTTTATATCTAGAAAACCCTGGAAGGGTCACCATACCTTGGAACTCATTTGATGGCATGTAATTATTATAGTCAGAATATAATAAGAACATCCTGAAAGTAAGAGCTATTCAGCAGCAGAATGGGCTACCTCAGAAAGTGGTGGGCCTTACTTTTACTGGAGTTGCCTGTTTTGTTTTTTAGTTTGTATGACCATCTATCTGGGATGCTCCAGTTATGAATTCCTTGCTGTGGGGGATTTGGACTTGAGAGCTCTTCCAGCTTTACAATTCTTTAATTCTGTGATAAAGACTTTAACTCTGGAAACTGCCTTTCATATTTATAAATCTCTTAAAATCTCATCCGAACAGTGGGGGACAGTAGCAGACTTTCATCTCTCCCACTTCTAATATTTCCATACTTCATATGCCCTCTTACCCATAACTGATCTCATTGTATGAGACAGAGGAAGATCATAGGGCCGTGGTTGCTTTTGGCATATCTGACTCTGCTCATAGTCCCCCAAACCAAATATGGCTTTTAGGCAATGTAGAGAAATAAGGAATGCTCCTTTCCTGGCCCAAAAGCACATCATAGAGTTGACCTTTCCTTCTGTACTCTCAAATCTGGTTGTGCTTTCTGGAATCATTACTAATCTCTCCCATCTAAATGTAAAGCTGCCTTTAGGAAGGGGAAGGACATTAGTCCTGCTCCCCAGATTCCAGTTGAAGGCCATTGAACTGCTGGGGATACCCACTAATTTGTGAAGGTTTTGCCACAAAAGAAGTGTGGAAATCATTCATGTATGGTTGAAGGGAATGCACAAACCCAATATAGTAATGTTTTAACTATTTTATGATTGTGTTTGGTGTTTCTGTGCCATGAAGATAAAGTTATGGAGTTGTATCCTTCAAACAGAAGGACTTATCTTTTTGTGTTTCCCCATAGGACGAGTAGGAACACCTCATTTTATGGCCCCAGAAGTTGTAAAAAGAGAGCCTTATGGAAAGCCTGTAGATGTGTGGGGCTGTGGAGTGATCCTTTTTATTCTGCTTAGTGGTTGTTTGCCTTTTTATGGAACAAAGGAAAGATTATTTGAAGGCATTATCAAAGGAAAATACAAGGTAAGTGACTGCATTTTGTAAAATCAGTTTGGAAAAATTTCACGTGGAAGGGGCATCTTCACATGTAAAAATAGTGAAGATACAGACCTAGAACAGAACAGAAAGATTTGCACAGGGTTTAATCACTAAATTTATTTATCTTTACTTTAGTGGGTGAAAATGGAGATTCCTGAGACATACATATCTATTGCTTCAAGTTTAGGAAGATTTCTGAGGCTTCTTATGGTTACTATACAGAGGAGGAATCTTCACTGTAAAAAACATGCTACCTTTTGCATACCTAACTTCAATCATGTGTTTGTTGTTGCATGTATACAGTGGTGCCTTGCTTAGCGAGGATAATCCTTTCCAGCGAAATCCTCGTTAAGCGAAATAAAAAATCCCATTGAAACACATTAAAAATCCATTCAATGCGTTCCAATGGGCTGAAAAACTCACCATCCAGCAAAGATCCTCCATAGGGGTGGCCATTTTCGGTGCCTGTATAGCGAGGAATCCGTCCAAAAACACAGCAGGGAGCCATTTTACACAGCAGACAGCCATTTTGAAGCTGCCGATCATATGTTTAGAAACGTCGTAATGCGAAGAATCGGTTCCCGAAGGAGGGAACCGATCGTCACAAAGCAGATTTTGCCTATTAAAACATTGTTTTATGATCGCAAAAGCGATTGCAAAACAGTCATCGTATAGTGGTTTTGTCGTTTAATGAGGCAATCGTTAAGCGAGGCACCACTGTACTTTATTTGTGACATGTACTCTTCAAACATCTTGAAATGTTATGTTCTCTGATTATGTGGGTAAGTGTGGAAATAACTCACTGCCTTTCACAGTGGAAACCCTTCTTCAAACTGAGATTAATAATTCATGGTTTTTGGACAAGTTTAGACCACTCTTTAGATATATGTGCCTTTTCAAGTATTAAACAAAGGCAACCACATTTACCTTCCTACTATCTTCTCCTTAGTATATCTTGTAGTTATTGGATCTATGTATTGGAGTAATGCTTGTTGCATTCAGTCACAGCCACATGAAAACATTTCAGAAATATTAATATTGAGAACATTGTTCCACAGAAGTCTCAGCTTACTTCCCATTATTATTCAGTTCAACTTTTGTAGAAAATCTGAGTCAACTGGAAACCACTATCATTTCCATGTCTTATGGTTCCCAAAAAAGTCTGGTTTCAAGCTTACTATTTTCTGTGCAACTGGAACATAGTAAAAAAACTCTCATTACCATTCTTCAAAATCAGATACTAAAGTTTAGTGGTTTGTTTGGAAACTCTGTGTTTGCTTTAAAAAAAAACAAGACTCTTTTTTTTAAAAAAGTAATATCATTTTCTGCAAAGTTGTTGATTCATCCCCATCAACTTGCTGAATTTTTTATAATGCAGTTTAGAAGGTGTTAGGGCATCTTTAATTAATTCTGCTGACTTCACATTAATAGTGAGCGCATGCAGTGCATTTCTGTGGTGTGAGTCAGCAGATGTGGCATTGTGCTCAGGAAACATCTATTGAGTAATAAAGTGCCATTTCAAGTTAAATTTGGATGTGTGTTTTAGTGAAAGATGTTGCAATAACTTATTTTTTATTTAAAATAGTATATATTAAAGCAACCCAGTGCACAAACAAATTATTATATACTACTGTATTTAATTTGTTTAGATCTTTAGAGAACATTTTAAAAACATTTTCTGTATTTTTAATATATGAGCATGAAAACAAGATAGAACTGTAGTTATGTTACACTACCAGGTTTTATGGCGCTTCCAGAAGTCACAGGTAGATTATTTGTTCAGTTGGTAGTTTCAGCAAAAGTTGTAGTAGCTGCACAGTACATCAATCTGTTATTGAACTTTAAATATGTAGATTTACAACAAGAGCAATGGAAACAGAACATAAAAGATCCCTGTTATATGAGTAGAGCTTAGAAGTTGTTCTTGTTAAAAAACGCCAGGCACAGTCAATCAAAATTATAAAAACATTGATTGGTATTATATAACAGATAAAAGTTTTAACCAAAAGCTTAAGTATCTGTTAAATATTAGTGCAGTATATATGCAAGAGGGACGTGGTCTGGTATGTTATGTTCAAGGTGTCTATCAGTTTGGATCCGGAAATCCCACAAGATCTTGACGTCGTCGTTTTCTGACACTGCTACCTGATGTTCCCATGGGAAAAACATTGATTGGTATTATATAACAGATAAAAGTTTTAACCAAAAGCTTAAGTATCTGTTAAATATTAGTGCAGTATATATGCAAGAGGGACGTGGTCTGGTATGTTATGTTCAAGGTGTCTATCAGTTTGGATCCGGAAATCCCACAAGATCTTGACGTCGTCGTTTTCTGACACTGCTACCTGATGTTCCCATGGGTTT